TTTTAAACGGTAACTGTAACGGAATACAGTTACTCATATTTTGTATTTTAAATACGTAACGGCGGTACATGTATTCCGTTACTCTCCAACATTATCCACACGTGCTATATATCTGTGTATGCATGTGTGACTACAGCACGCGGTCTGGGGTTGCATCCTACTGAGTAGCAGAGCCTGAGCATTGAGAGTAATCTTGTGGTTGACCAGTATTAGCCAAATAGGAAGAGACAAAACACAGTGCATTGCAGTGGATATCAGAAATTGAAAATGAAAGCACTTTTACTTTGATACTTGCTCAAGTGAGTGTGTGAATTAATGGTATAGGGAGGAGCAGGCTGACCACACTGTTGTTCAACTAGTGTCCACCAAAACTGTCACTCATAATGCTATAGTTTATACAGCTGAAGTTGCCCATTACTCTTGTAAATTAAAATGTACACTGAATCAGAGCACACAACACAAAAGTTAAAACTAAAAATCCCATTTTGAATGTAGATTTTTTTTTTATCATGTTATTGACTGGTTTATTCTTGCTGTGTTATGTGTAAGTGTCTATAGCCAAAAAATGCCTATGATCACATTTAGGTTAAGTGTTGTTTTACTTTAGTACATTTACCACATGTGTTTGTAATATGGAGTGTGTATTTTGTCATAACAGACCTGAAAATGTGATGAACCAGTTTCTTGGTCTGGGGCCCAACACAGATATTAATCAGCGTATGATGAGTCAGACTGAGGATATAAAGGTACCCGTCTATAACAGTTTTATATGATTACTTTCCTGCCTCTCAGACGTTTTCTCTTCATATTCTTGCAAATATATCAAATTGCTATTTTTTCCCCTCTGTCATGTTAAACAAAATTTTTTGTTCCAGTGATTTTTATTTTTAAGATTTTATTTTTTTTTAACACTTCCTTTTCTGGGGCTGTCTCTTTGTCGATCCAGCACAGTGGTGGAATGAGTCAAACTGAGCATCATATGATTCCAGATGGATATCAGTCCACAAATGAGGTTTACTCTCGATCCCGGGTAAGCATTTGTCTTGAACGTAAACTTTCTGTTTCACACGTAGTTTGTCATAGTTAGTGGTAGGAACATTTCTATTTTGGCCTATGCTATGAACTGTGGAAAATAAACAAAAAACCTGTCTTGTTGTCATTCTCCTAAAGGGAAGTTCAAGAGAAGATTTATCTATGAGGCGGGAAGGCAGGCACAGAGGCCATGGGAGAAGATCCAGATCTGGTTCCAGGTAGGGTTGGGCGATATGGCCTAAAATCCATATCGCGGTATAATTTGAAGCATGTGCGGTAACGATATATATCTCGATATATTCTTTTCTTCTGTATAACGTATTTTACACACTATAAGTTGCACTTAAAATCCTGTGATTTAGTCAAAAATCAACAGTGCGCCTTGTGTAGGAATTCTAGTTGTGCTTACTGACCTTGAACCGATTTTATGTTGTACACAGCGCGCAGAAATCTGTCAAAAATGTTTTAGTACAACTTTGGTAAGCTACGAAGCCGCACTGCTTGATGGATTGTCGGTGCATTATGGCTGCCATAGTCAGGAGTCTCGCGGCAGGGCTCGCAAAATCGCTAGCCCCCGGGCGTCGGGCTAGCGATTTTTCCAGTCGGGCTACCAAAATCTATCTCTGCCCTGCCCG